GGTGAGAACCTCCAGCCCCTCCTCCTTGTTACCTGTTTTTTCAAGCAGTAACATGAAGTTGAGGATTTCTCTAGTCCTGAGTAATTAAAAGCCTTTTTCACAGTGCACTGAAAAGCCAAAATCTTGACATAGCTGTCAGCTGCAAAAGAAGAGGAGCATTAACCACCTGGAGACCAGTTCTCATGGGATTGATCTCCTCATTGCAGCAAGCTAACAAGCTTCCCACTTCTGATGAGTCAGGAGCAGATAAAATTTAAGTCTGCCAATAAAACACTAAGTGACTTCCCATTTCTAAAATGCTCTGTACCCAGGGTTCACAGCCTGCTTTGGTGTTTTTTTTTGAGTTCTGTGCATCTGTCATGTTCATGACTGTGTTAGATGTGCAGGTTCTCAGTGTTTTTGTAGGTGAAAGTGTCTCATTAAAGCCCAGAAATCCAAAGCAGGTCATTGCTGCATTTGGGTACTTCAAGCTCTGTCTCATCTGCTTTGTCACTCCCCTGTGCACTGAAAACCTCCTTAAATAAATGTTTTCCTGAGCTACCAAGGATGCTGCATGCTCCCAAGATGGGCAGTTTTCGTGGTGCTGAGCACCTTTCAGAATGTGTCCAGATTCTCTTCAACTCAAGGAATCACTTTGCTTTTGTGGGATATGCAGGCAGGGAAGGGCCCATGCTGCCAGGAGGGGTGGGGACAGGGCTGCTGCTGCAGGTCCTGTGCCCCAGACCTGGTTCTGCATGGGACTGGGCACCCCCATCCCTACACATCACCTACCTGGGCCCTGTCATGGGACTTCCTTCACGTTCCCCATGGTATGAAGCATCTCCCTCTGGGATCAGAGAAAGCCAGTCTCAACTTAGAAAATCCCTGGCAGATCAGACCAGGGAGAAAGGCAGTGAATGACTTGAGGAAAAGAGACTTCAACCCTCTCCAGGGCAAATGGGGCAGATATTGCTCTGATGTACCAAGTCCATGTCCTGGCATAGCAAGCAGCATCCCTACTGAGAATCTTAATTTACTGTAGCCTTTTTCAAGGCAGCACCATGTATTTAATGCAGCTTGGTCATCCTGGGAGGGGGAAAATATAATTAAAAAAAAACAGGTTTACTTCCTCTTATTATAAAGTGTTCCTCATGCCATTTAGTACAGTGTAAATGCTTCTGCTCCCCCCGCCCCCCAGACCCAGCAAATTGTTTACTTTATAAAATCCCTCCTTTTTTCTTTCTCAGCTTCATTTGCATACATATTCCATTTTTTTAGAAAATTAAACCTTTCATATTCACACTGACTTCAGAGTGGGTGGATCTCAAACCATTGTGGGGTTACAGGGAATACTGTGTTAAGGAACTGTACTGAAACGATCAGCCAGGGAGAACCTGGCTTGTATCAAACCGGTAATCATGAAAATCAGATATTTGTGCCAGAAATACCCTTTTATGTAGCAGGATTTGTGCCCAAGTGGCAACATCAGAAATTTAGAGAAGCTAATTGCAGAGGAATTGAGATATTGACTCAGCAATAAGAGAGGAGGAAATGAAACAGTGATTTGAGAGATGTTGTTACCATTACACTGTGTAATTAATAAATCAGTTAATTTACCCACCCAGACTGTTCAGGAGAACAGAACATGGAATCCAGATGCATTCCTTGGGCTTCAGCCCACCTTGGCATCTGGGTGGCACCTTGGCATCTTGTCTCCATGCCTGTCCCCTGTTCCAAAGCACACACCACACTCTTCCCAAGAAAATAATGAAGTTTCTTTTGTTGCTCTGTTGTCTCCTGTCTCAGATGGAGACTCGGCTGGGGATTTGGGGCTGGGATGGAGCCCATTGCAGCTGCACTGCTGGTTCTCCAGGGAGCATGAGCTGTCTCCAGCTGGACTCCATCCCGGTGGCTGCCCCCAGCCTGGCACACACCGTGCTGTTCTGTGTGAAAGTGCCTCGAGCTGAGGTTTGTTCAGCAAAGTCATTCCTCTTGGTCCGAGCTCTGTGCTGCACAGCCAGGGAGGAGACCTGAACTTTCACAGCTTGGTATCAAAGACTTGTGATTAGACTGCAGAGCAGCAACAGGGCTTCCCTCTTGATTTCCCACCCCCACGTTCTGCATACATGTTTTGAAGCTTTTTGGCACCTCCCAGCTGGAGGAACAAAGGAAGGAATCCCACACATGACTCCGTGCTGCAGAGCTGGCACCGGCCACGCACAGCCCCCGCAGTTTGTTACTCATCTGAGAGAGAAGACACCAAAAATTATGCTTGATTGGGTCCTGCCAAATCACAGTTGGCCAGCTCAGGATGCTGTCATTACAAGGAAAACCCAAAATTGGCAGTACAGAGCAGGCCATTTGGCAAACGGTGTGTCATTCTTGGAGCCTAGGTCTGTAATTATGCCCTGTGTCCTCTTGAGAGGAGATGCCAAAGTTCCAGCCTTAGCAGGTGGTTTGGAACAAACTAACAGGGAGCAGTGAGTGCTAACAGCAAAAGTATATATGTGGACCCTGATAAAATGCTAGAGTTTAGAGATGAAGACACTGGGGAGCGAATTATATGGAACCTGGGTGAGGAAGCCCAGCAGACTTGGTGGAAAGAATTACACCTTGAAAGGGAGGAAAGGCATTTTTTTCTAAACTGTGCATTTACAGAAAGTGTTTGGTTAAAAGTGAAAAATACAGCAGATTTAATAATAACATGATTTGTTGCTATAAAAGGTCAACACAATGCATTAGAAGGGAAGGTGTGGGATGAACTGCATTGGGAGATTTATTTTTTGGAGACTTTACACTTTCAAAGCTGTTTTTTAGTCTAGAATGTCATGTCATCCATGGAGAAAGCCATCAGGAGCATATGCATGGCTTTTCATCCTCTGCTGCTGACTTACCATGTCAATTTGTCAAGTGATTTATTGTCTGGTCCTTTTAGAGAATAATTGTATCCATTCCCAAAAATGAAAAGTGGTTTAGAATGTCTAGATTTCTGTTTTAGAATATCCTCAATTCTGGCTATTGCAGCCTGACAGAGACATTGACTTGATGCCAAATTCTGGTGCATAATGAAGGATAAGGGAAATGTTTGGAATTAAGGTGTTTGGATACAAAAGGGAATTTATGACCAGCTGATGTCCCTGTCTCCTGGATGCAGAGCACATTCTGCTACTTTCCTGTGGGTGTATCCTTCGCACATTCAAGTCTTGTTGCTGTTTTTTAATAAATCTCTCCAACTAATGGTCACTTTATTTGCTTTGAATCTCACATGAGAATTACTTGTAACACTCTTGTTTTTCTTCATGTGTTTTACACTGTGAATAAAGTTCTTTTTGAGAGAACTAGAACTCTTCTATATCCAAACGCTGAAATTTTCTCCTCGTCCTTTCTAGAGCGAGGCATGAAACAGAGAAATCAAGCTAAAACCCTTCAATTCTTTTTGTAGTCACACTCTCCCAGTGTTGATTACTCCCCCTTATTTGAGGGGGTTCCATCTGTAGGACAGTCCTCAGCTCCAGCATGTGCAGTAGTGTCACTGGGCTGGCAGCTCCTCCTTTCCATCCCTCCCCAGGAGCCAGGCTGGGCTCTGAGAGGGGCATAAACACACTGAGACCCCAGTGCTCCAGTCTCCCTGCTAAAACACACCCAGGGACCTGCTCTTCTGAGTCCCCATGAGCATCCTCCTTCTGGGACCCTCTGTTGTGCTTGGCTCTGCTGAGGCATCTCCTCACACGCGTTTACCTTCCAGGTCACTGCAGAGTGTGAGTTGGTGATTTCTCCTGAATGTGGCAGTTCTTCTTTTCACTGTCAAGATTTAAGCCTTGAATGTCAGAACTTGCTTGTAGGTTGTGTTTGACTCCAGCTTTTCCATTCCCAGTGATGTGGCAGTTTTGAAGTTGCTGCACAAGCTTTGACTATTTCTGGAGTTGATTTGCGTGTGTGCACAGCAGTAGGATTTTATGTTGCAAATTCCCTGCAGTCTTTTGGTATAAATTAGTGTTTCTCCCCCAACAAAAGGTCATGGATAAAAACAGAGCTGGACATTTAAATACCCAATGCCTTGAGACCCACCCCAACTGCTGCTACCTCTCTGTTGGATTCACGGAGAGTAAAATTGTTTGCTGGGCAGTAAATATTAAAAGGTGGAAGTTTTAGCTACAGACATGCATTACATTTTAGTGAGTTCTAGCAAAAGCTTTTCATAACAAACTAAATAGTGCTGTTGCATGTCTCTTTTCCTTTGTGTAAATAATTTGTGTTTACTTTCATGTAATGATGCTTTTTGGTTGTCAGAAGGTGCAGATTGCCTTGATCCATAAATTTGGTGGTGTGCAGTGCCAGCACAGCCCCATGTCTGAGCCTGGGACAGAGCCATGTCTTGCACACAATTAAACTTCAAGCTTGGGGGGCTGGAAGAAGGAATGAGCCCCATACACCTCAGGCAGAGGCATAAAGCCCCCAAATTCAAATTCTGTTTCCTCAAATCAGATGGGATCTCTGTTTTTTTTTTTTTTGTTCTTTGGAAAACATTTCCCCTCTTTCCCACTCAGTACACAGAAATGGAATTTAATACCTCCCTTTGCTGAAGGGTCGATCAGGTGTGGGAGTAAGCAGGACTTGATAGGAATTGCAGAAGATTGATCACTCCCTCACCCCTGAGCAGCACCAGCATGGCCCTGCTGGCTCCCCAGGGTGTTTGGGCAGTACAGCAAGGCCAGACACCCACAGATGCTGTCACTGACACAGCCTGGGAGAACATGGAAAGGGCTGTGGGAGTAATATTAGATCAGGCCAGAAGAGTGACAGCAAGAGCAGAACCCCTGCCAAGCCTCAGAGCATAAATTGCCCAGGCTCCAGTGTGGAAGGCTGAAGGGTGTGAGGCACATTCAGCTTGCGCTGAACACACTGTTCCACTTTGAAGCTCACACGTTTGGTGGGTGGGTGTTTCAGGAATCGTGTTCCCTTCACTATCATGCTGTCTCTTTTTCATCTGAGTGACTCATTTTTTTGCCCCTCTCTCGTAGATCTCCGACCTGATACGCCAAAGCACAAAGGAGTCCCCAGTCTGGGAGTTCCTCAGCCTGGGCTACGCGCTCATGCTCTGCCCCTTCGTGGTTGTCCTGGGAGGGATGTTCTTCCTGGCCACAGCCCTCTTCTTCCTCAGTGACCGAGCTAAAGCTGAGCAACAGTGAGTAGCCTGGCCATTGCGAACGGGAGGCACCACAGCCTGTTTGCTCTCTTGAACGTTGTGCTTGTACTCTTCCCCTGGCTTTGGCCCTTCCAGCTAAAGGATGTTGGGTTGTGTGTTCAGAACCTGGGCTCAGCAGAGTGCATGAGGCTGCACGAAGCACAGGGGCTTGGGTCATGCTGGCTGGGCATCCTTTACACGCTTCTGCTCTGGTGGATCTCAGTTGTTGGCCACATGGCTCAGAGGGGAGCACAGGCCCCTCACACCCTTGCCTGAGCATGTCACAGCCCAGGCTGTCCATGGTGAGGGGCTGCTGGTGCTGGAACTGGTGGAGTGTGAGGTCAGGAGCAGGAGGTGCTCCCCAGAGCTTGGTGGTCAAGGCTGCACCTGCCCGCCTCCATCCCCAGAGCCCCACTCACCACCTCTGGCAGTCAAGAACATGAGGCAAGGAAGCAGCAAGCTGTGGTGGGAACATGTGCACTCAAGTGTTGCTGTGATAAAGAGTCTTTGCCAGTCCCTTCTTGCAGCCTCATGAAAAAAAAGCAACTGTTTTTCAGTAAAGAAACCGATTCGGATCATCTCACGGTTGGCAACTACAGTAATTCGGAAGACGCTTCCACATGACATACAAACTTCTGGGGTTAGTCTCTTTCTCATCATTGTTGAAAAATAAGAGTTACTATGTGTAATGTCATGCTGAATATGTGGGTAGGTAGTCTGGTGTTGGCTGTAAATTGCCTTTGCTTTTCCCCCACTGGAGCCTTGATTTACCTTAAGGAGAAGGGCCCTGGAATATCATTCTAGGTGTAGTAGAGGTAGAAGGAAAAAGAGGTGCTTGGAGTTGACATAAGTGTGTGAACAGTTTGGGTGATACTTTCTGGCTCACACTGTCTTATCAGATGGATGAAAGAGATTTAGAAGCAGTGCCACAGATGGTGCTGTGGCCCTGTATGTGCAGTTCCACCCTCCTTTTACTAACATTCATAAATACCAAAGAAAGGAGAAGTTCCTCTATAATGAGATGTTTAAACATTGTGGAAAAACAAGTCCTCATGTTATAAGGATGGGAAGTCCTACAGAGTTGAACTTCAGTGTGCCTTTGGGGATGTGATGTGTGTGCCTGGTTTGTTGTCTGCATACAAGGATCTTAAATGGCAGGAAGGGAAGTTGGAGATTAGGTGCTAGGAAGGTCTTCCTAAGAGAAAAAGAGGTAAATCCTACAGCAGATTATTTGGGTAAGGCATAAAAGCTGTCCCTTGTTGCTGATGGCCTCCCTGACATGGCATGAGGCAGGAGGGGGGGATCTGCTCTCCAGCTTATGGATCTGCTCTCCAGTCCTCTTTTGTGCTTGTGCTGTGCTTGTGCACATATGCTGTACATGCCAGTCCAGGCAGTGACCACCTGGAGACATGGCAAGATGAACATAAATTTCTGAGTGCTCAGGGTGGTTTTTTTGCTGCAAGGAGCCAAAAGTCCTACTTGGTGTCAGTGCAGATGAAACCCCCACTGTAGCATTTTCCTTTGCTCAGTGCTCACCTGATTATACGAAAGCTCCTGGGCTTGTCTTCCCTGTGTTCAGAGAGGAGAGTGCTCATTCCACTTCTAACTGTGGTGATTTGTGTCCCTTTGCATCATGTGTGCTGCCAGTGTGGCATGGTAACACCCCAGGTGCTGAAGGAGGATTCAGATAGTGAAGGGTTCCAGGTCACTCCCATTTTTTAGCATGTCAAGCCCACCTGGACCTTTATGCTGAGCAGGGCACTGTGGTATCCAGCTGTTCTCAGCTCAGTGGTGATCTCAAGGATCTTTTGGTTCACTCAGGAGGCACCACAGGTCACAGGCTGGTCACCAGCTGGGTGACTCTGCTTGGCTGCCAGCACTGGTGTGTCTTACACAGTTGTTTTGCCAAAGCCCCAGCTTTCACAGCAGTGTTAATGTGAGAGGGAAATCACATCCACACCTCTAATTGCTCCTACACAAATGGGATTATTCCTCTGTTGCTGTCTGCCCTTAGCAGTTTTGGTTGTACTCTATCCATGTCCAGAGCAACCAACCTTCCAAACAGCCACTGCTGCATTCTTAGAAGAAAAACATTCAGGTTTCAAACCTGGTTTTGTTCTCTTTCAGCATCGTTCCCTTTCCTGACTCACATCTGTTTATGAATTTTTTATTAGTCACTCACAGATATTTTGTGTTGCAAACTGGGGAGAACAAGTCTCATAAATAATGGTTAACAAAATAATTTCTCTCAAGTGACTCCTAGGAAGGGTACTCTTTCTGGGGTGTGCCCACTCCTACGTTAAAAATACATTGGCATCCTGCAGTGAGATTCCTGGAGTGCAGCTTCACTCAAGGTACTGAGAAGTGAGAGTGAAGTAAGAGAGAAATAAGGCTGGAGACTGTGGAGGGACCCTTGTGCAGCAGAGTCTGTGCTGTCAACCAGGTCCCATCTGCCCCCTCCTGCAGCTTCAGTGGCTCCTCAGAATTTATGGGGCAGGATTTGTTTGTTAGCATCTCCATGCTTGCCTGTGAGAGGAAAGGAACAGCATTTTGCTATTAGTGGATAAAAACCCCAGATCCACCACCCAGCTCCCACCTGTCCGGCCATCTGCACTTGGCATCACACACCTTTGGCAGAGGCTGTTTTCTGCCCGGCCAGTCCTCCCCTCCATCCTACCTATTACAGAGGAATTTCTATTTCAGGATGCCTTGTTTTCCCTGTGCAGTCAGTCCTGCTGCTCAGACAACGGGAGCTGGAAACTGGCTTTGCCAAAAGAAATCAATTAACCTGCGGGAACGGCGAGCGCCGGTGTCACACGCCAGAGATGAAAGCCATCCATCACTGCCAGGGGCAGGGCACAGGGCAGCTGCCACCACCCCTCCAGTGACCTAGCACGGAAGCAGAGAAGTGGAACACTGCTCTCACAGCCTGTGGAAGCTGAGCTGTCCCTGCTTTAGTTGCCACACTTCTGTGAAATGTCGTGCAGGGATTTATTGCTGGGATTTCTGAGTTTGTTTGTTTCTTTGTGTAACCATCTCTAGGCATTTGCTTAGAAATAATTTCTTCTTCCTGGCAGGGCAGATACCAGGATAGCAACTCTTTCCTGTAAAGCTTCCTCCAGTTTCCACCATGCTTCCTTTCAAAAAAAGAATTTCCAGGCTTTCACACTACTTTTATCATTGCCACAATTCCTGGCATATTTTGTACTTTTTTAGCACAGGAATTCCAGTCAACAAGGCTGCTCACAATACACAAATGAAAAAATTCTTTCCGTAGAAATTCTTTTTTTTCCAACACAATTCTTTTATTACCATTTTCCTTCTGCTTCAGAAGCCTGACATCTTAAAGAGGCTTTTAGAAAATGCAGTACTAGCAGAGAACAGGATAGCACATCACTCTGTGCTAATAATCCAATCATTTTGGGGACTAGTTCTGTAACACAAATTTAATCCCATCGTTCCAAAGTGATAAGAGAGAGAAAACAGTTAAGAATGGGTTCTGTAAGAGGTCTTAGGCACTAGCAATGATAAATACTTCAAGTAGTTTTTAAACCACTCAACTACAATTCCTTCTGTGATATCACTTGACTGTGTGGCATTTTTCCTGCTCTGCACCTCTGCAGAGGAGAGTTAAAGCAATTGTATTTTATTTTCAAACATCAGCACTCTGAACTGTAACTCTCTTACCTGCTTGGGGGATATTGGTGAGACCCCAGCCAGATTTTAGACTCCCTGGGAGACAATACAGTCTTGGATGGCAGAGGCCTCTGGAGGGGATGAGGAATCTGATCATTGCACTTTTATCCTCAAGCTCCATCACAGGTACCTGTGCAGCCCTGCCTGGGAGCCATTGCCAAGGCTGGGAGCAGCCCAGGTTCTTCAGTCAATGGAAGTAAAAGCCCAGCACTGCTGAGAGTTGTGTGGTTTGTGTTCATCCTCTTCCTTTTCACAGTGTGGAGCCCTGGGACAAACAAAGCTTCACCCTGGAGGGCTGCAGAAGAACAGCCCTCATTTGGTGCTTGCTAGAAGTATCAATAATTAGGAAAAATGTTTTATTCTTTTTTAATGAAAAGGAATTCAAAAAAGTCCCTTTCCCAAGCTGTGACAACTTTTGGGTGCCAGGGATATAAATCACCAGAATTCGTGTGTATCAGGGTCCTTTGCTGGGCAGTGAGTGCAGTGATCCTGCAGCCCTGTCCCCAGCCATGGCCACTCCCAGCTGCTGCTGAGGGAAAACCAAATTCATCTGGATCCTTCCTGAAAAATCACCCTGTGCAGGTGTGGGATACTCTACTCCTCAAAGGATTTTGTTGTTTTAATTTGGGGGTTTTTGTGGTTTTTTTTTTTTTGGTTTGTTTATTTTGTTTTGGTTTGGTTTTTTGGGGGTTTTTTTGTTTGTTTGTTTGGTTTGGTTTTTTGGGTTTTTTGTTTTGGGGGCTTTTTTGGTTTTTTGGGGTGTTTTTTGGTTCTTTTTTGTTGTTGTTATTGGTTTTTTGTTGTTGTTGGTTTTTTGTTTGTTTTGGTTTTTGTTTTTGTTGTTGTTGTTTTGGGGGGTTTTGTTTGGTTGGGGTTTTTTTGGGTTTTGGGGGGATTTTTTGTTTGGTGTTTTTTTGTTTGGTTAGTTGGTTTTTGTGCTATTTTTTTTTAAGTTTAATCCCTGGTTTTACACCTGAAAACATTAGATTTTCTGTTTTTTTTCCAGAGGTATAAAAAGATGCTTAGGATGGGTGTCCAAGTTTTGCACTGGCTCAGTCCCTCTCTGCATGGCAGAGGCTGATATTTCTGCCAAGGACACGGCAATGCAGATCAGGCAGCAGGATGCAACTGCAGTGTGGATCCTGGTGCAGCCAGAGCAGGAATAAACAGCTGCACTGCTGCAGCTCTTGAGAACAAAAGAATTCAAGTCTTTAACCAGTGACCACTCAGCACTTGAGAGCCTGCAAGCCTGAATCGTTCACCCCTTTGTTTCAATAATAAGAATCAGGTTATTTAAACAACTCAAGAAGGTATTTCTTTTCTCCTAAAATGAAAATTAAACATCTAATAAGAAAAAAAAAATTTACTCTTAACACCTTTGGTCTGATGTGGAAGCTCTTGCTGAGTAGAAGTGCTGGTGGATATTTCATTTTAAAAATGGTGTGTGTACAAACACTAGGGAAAAAATCCTCTTTACAGAGGAGGTAGCAAAATCCACAAAAAGAACCATCCCTAGTCCAGACACTTCTGCTGTCTTAAACATGGCACATCTTCAAATTGCATTACAGGAAAAATGAGAATAATCCATTTTCAGGCTCTTTCTTCTGCCTCCGATCAGGCTTATTTTTAGCCTTTTGCAGAACTGGATATAAAATTATCTCCCAGTTCTCCTATTGCAGCAATTTGAAAGTGTCTGACCTTATTTTTGCTTTGCAGATTCTATTATGTGGGACAGGGGCAGGACTCACAGAGCTGTCAAACCTCCCTTTCTGTCATTTTTCATGGGCAGCAGCTGGGGACAGAAAGGACCCACCAGGTGCCCTGATGCTGCTGCCAGCAAAACCCAGAGTCCCCTCCATTAACCATGTCCCAGGTATTGAAGTGGCAGCTGCCTGGTGCTGAGTGTGCTCCCTTCTGGTAGTTTGCATTGCCAAAAAGAACATT